GGATAATGAGTGATACAAAGAGGAAGCGAAAGGCCGCAGGTTCGAAAGGTTACAAGAGACAAAGGAAGATCCCAAGAAGGAATACCAAATAGGAAACATTTCTTGGGGTTTTTTGAAGAGCTTCTAAAAAAATGCCAAATAATTGAAAGATGGAGAGGCACCAAGGTGTTAAGGGGAAGTCCCATGGAAGGAATTTCATAAAAAACAACACTTCTTGGGGGTTTTTGAAGAGCTTCCAATATCCAATGCCAACCTCCCAAAGGATTAATAGGACATCCATTGAAGGATACATATCCCTAGGTGTCAATAGCCTCTTAGGAAATATATTTCAACGATCCTAAGCAGATCCTTTAGCTCAAAACCGTAAAACAGGTCAAATAATCCCCCAAAAAACTCCCCAACTTCCATTTGAAACAAAAACTAAGCCCCACCAGAATCTAATTGGGGCTAATCCTCTCCCTCCGCCCCGCTCCCATTTATCATCCCCTCGCTGCCCTTCGTCCCCCTCAATTATAGATATGCACGCCCCTTTTTCTTGTATTTTTTCCCTGGCCCTAATCAAGGCCCGGCAATGGTCTTATCTTATTGTCTCAGCAATTTAATATTTATGCCGGAAAAGGGAAGAGGGTGGGGGGGTCCAGTTTAACCTCCATTTGAACCGAGGCCCAACGGTCCAGGGTAGGCCTCCCCCCCTCCCTCCTCTAATCATCATTTCGCCTTGTTTTCTTTTCATTTTCCATACAATTTTCCGCTGCTTTTTTCCAGTTTTGATGCGACCCCGGGGAGGTCTGAAGTAATTGTTGCGCTTGCCACGCCCAGCGGCAGGCGGCCGTCGGGCCGTCCCTTGGCCCCCAGGCACATTAAAGGCCAGGCCAAGCGAGAGATAGATGGCAGAAAGGAAGGCAGAGAGAGGAAGGGTATCTCTGAGCTGGGGAAAGAGCAGCTAAGATTCTCTGGCATCCTCCCTTCAGTATTTGCCAGCTTTCGATTCCAGTTTGAAAGGCCTGCATTTTGGGGGGGGGGGGGAAGATCCTCCTCTGGAACCTCCTCTCCATCTAGAGGCATCCCTTCGCTGCATAGCCTTGGCCAAAAGGCTGATCTCCAGCTAATAAATACTTGTCCATATTAGGATGGAAAAATGTGTTGCCCCTTCGGGTCCCTGGGAGCCCCTTCGAAAGCCCCTTGGAGCCCTTTGGATGCAACGAGGCGGTGGGTTTTATTAAATTCCACAATCGAATTGCAGGCATCGCATCTCGGCGTTGGTCCTTATGAACTTTTACAGAGCCATTATATGCAAATGATGAGAGCAAAGAAAGCAAATATTGCTACCTCGGGCAGTGGCCACAGCAGGGGGCCTAGGGAGGGGGGGGGCACACACGCACTGCCACACAGGCATTGTTTGTCCTGGCTAGCAGGACGTGGAGGAGGAGTGTCCTGGCTCATGTGCAGACATTTACATAGGCAAACAGCTTCTTCTTCCGGTTGGTCCATTCATGGCAGGACTGGCAGGACTGCCAGGACTCGTGGCTGGCCCTGTGTCCTGGCACGAACTACTAATAAACCAAGAACCTCCACAACAATGGCGCTGGCAACGGATATTAAGCCAGAACCGGCCCCGAGGACCCCAAAAGAAAAGACCAAAAAAAAAAAACAGGAAGAAATAGTAGAGGAATGCAGAGAGAGAGGGGAGGAAAGAGAGGGGGCAGGACCTGGAGAAGAAGAAAAGGAAAAAAAATTCTCTAACGAGGCTAACTTTTTGCCAAAGATTAAAGATGGACCGTCAATAGTGGAACGATACAGTGAAGCCCCTGCCCCCTGCCCCCTGCCCCCTCCCCACCCCTCATATCACACCACCCCCCATTCCGATGACAGCTTAAACAAACGCCGCCTGGGGGCGCCACTACAGCAACAGATGAGACGGTCCAAGGATTTTCGAAAAACGCCCAAAGGCCCAACGGAATCGAACATGATTTGTCGCCTGTTGACAGGCCGAGGGGAGAGGGGAGAGCGGAGAGGGAGAGGGGTGGGGGGGGGGGGGGGCACCGAAATTGTGCCAGCAAGCGGAGGATCAAAGGAAAAGAATGGAATTTTGGAAGGTGTTTTGGCAGCGGGTTTTTGGGGGAAAAACAAAGGCCATTTCAAAGTTTTATATTCCTTAAATAAGTCCTGAAACGCTGCTTAAAAGGAGACCTGAGACAAGGCGCTCTCTTTCTAAAGAGAGCCTGGAAGACACCCTGAAAATTGTCTTACGCCGAAGAGTAGGTCCATGCCTTAGAGGTGATAGTCCTCCCTGTAGGAGGCTCCCTGTGGCTCTATGGCTCTGTGATCCTAGAGAGATGATAATCCCCCCTGAAAAGGGTCCTCTCTCGCTCAAAATCATACACAAATGACACGCACTGTCTCCAAATCATTTGCCACACAAGAAAAAGTTTCCATTTGCCAGCAATTATGCTTGTGGGTGGGGGGGGGGGGGGAGGGGGCGTGTCATATGGGAAAAAGTTGATTCTTTTTGGGATTCCACTGCGGGGCTCCGGTCTTTAGTTCCCTTGCAAATTTAATCACTTAACCCCAAATGAAGTATGAAAGGAAACTTTTGTGCGCCCCCATCCATCCCTCCCCCCATCCCCCCCTCCCCCCATTCCTTGAGGAAAAAAGTTCAAGCCAGAAGGCAGTGGAAAAAGGGAAATTGATTTTTCACTTGGCAGAGGTCGCACCCCGAGCATATTAATTCCACTCAAACCCGAACGAACTTCAACTCCACACCGCCACACGGCCATTGTCTGCCCCGTTGACACCCTGCAACGGGGTCCCCCCCTGTGCTCCCCCCTGTGCTCCCCCTTTGTACGAGTGTGTCGAGGCACCCCCCAAATGACAAAGTTACTTAAATTACCCAAAGAGAAAGTTTCTCCTGGCACTGGAGCCTGGCGGTGATGCTGGCGCTGGCTCTGGCGCTGCTTTTTGCTCTTCTGCCTTTGGCATGCCCTTGAAGAAGGTAAACCGGGCTACAACCTCCAACATATGCTGTAGACATGGGTTGTATCTTAAGGTAGGAGAAATTAGTTGATCCATAGAAACGAAGACCTTCTTTCGCTCTTCTCCAGCACCTTTTGGGCCGTTACATTCCTCTCTGGATCGGCCTTTCTTTCGCTCTTCTCCACTACTTTTTGGGCCGTTACATGCCTCCCTCGAGCGGCCTTTCTTTCGCTCTTCTCCAGCACCTTTTTGGCCGTTACTCTCCTCCCTCGAGCGGCCTTACTTTCGCTCTTCTCCAGCACCTTTTTGGCCGTTACATCCCTCCCTGGATTGGCCCTTCTTTCGCTCTTCTCCAGCACATTTTGGGCCGTTACTCTACTCTCTGGATCGGTGAGGGTATGGCCTTCCTTTCGCTCTTCTCCCGCACCTTTTGGGCCGTTACTCTCCTCCCTAGATCGGCCTTCCTTTCGCTCTTTTCCAGCACTGTCTCGGCCGTTACATTCCTCCCTGGATCGGCCCTTCTTTCGCTCTTCTCCACCACTTTTTGGGCCGTTACATTCCTTCCTCGAGCGGCCTTTCTTTCGCTCTTCTCCACCACCATTTGAGCCGTTACTCCTCGCAATTGTTCGACTCTTGAGCAGAATTAATGAGTGTGCAACCTAAATTCACTTCAAGACCAAATAAAATGAAAGTTTTTCCGTTTTTCCCCCCAAAAAAAAGAAAAGAAAACTTCATCCATGCAGTCTCATTAATGTCTGTCGCTCTGTCCGTGGCCTGGTGCAACTTTGTGGCAAGTTGTGGCCAGGTACTTGCTGCAAGTTCCCTCTTAAAGCACTCTTTTACTCTTTCTCAGTGCAGGCCGTGTTTGTGGACCCTCTTGAAGGGGCTAGAGCACATGATTCACTCCAAAATGAATCATAAACGAATGTTTTCTTCCTGCCTTCTGCTTCATTGGTTATTTTCCATCTCTGGCCGATTGCCATTTCATAATTGAATCGAACAGCATGCGGAATGTCTTTTCAGACATCAAAAATACCTTAAATCATCGCTTCAGCCCGAAAAATGTCCTGTCTACGCCTCGGACATGACATGGCACTCCAGAGGCTCCAGTGGCTTCAACAATTGCAAGTCATGCAGCAGAGAGAGAGAGAGAGGGAGAGCAGGATATTAGAGAGATTGAAATATTCCCACACACACACACATACGCTCTTCCTTGCTCTCTGTGTGTGTGTACAATAATATCCTTTCACATTTTATTACACTTGTAATGTGCAACGATTGGTTAGGGGGCGGGGCGGTGGCGGGGGCGGCCATGTGAGCAGTCATTCTAGAGTGACAGCCGCAGGCCCTGTAATAATGTAGGACACGACGCACAAGGAGTAAGGGTGGGGGGTGGAGCACCCCCCCCCCCCCTGTCTCCCTTTGAGGGCTTGTATCATTGTCAATATTGACAATAAACAAGTTTTGCCATAAAATGTTACAAGAGTCGAGACGAGGCTTCAAAAGGGGACACCCTCAAAGAGGGAGAACGACATAGATACAGATAGAGGGAGATAGAGATAGAGGTAGAGGGAGATGGCAAAAGTTGAGGACTCGCCGTCAGGCACTCCATCGCTGTCATCGCTCAATGACTTATTAATCGTATATCAAATAAATGCCATATATATCGCCGATACACTGCCCGAAATATTCCCCCCACAATCTACCCCAAAAACGGGGAAAACTAAAGCCTTCTCGCAGTGCAGCACTTTTGCAAATTAAAAGGGGAAAAAAACGAGTTTGATGTTTTTATAAATTATATAAAATATACATTAAAGGCCTGACCCAAGCCCATCACTCAGGGGTTGACACACGGTGCGAGGGGGGGCGGTTCTCCATAGTAAAAATAAAAATAAAAAATAAAAACTTTTGTAATTAATTAAAATCTCCAGCCGCATAAATCAATCATGGTGGAGCGTCCCCCCCTTCCCCCCAATTAATGATTTAAATCATCTGTTAAAAAAAAAATATTTCTTTACGCATTGCAGATTTCATTACGGGCCTGCGACTGGTCGAGGTCCGGATACCGAATTACGTGATTAAGGGCTCCGCGGCGCAGCTGGAATGCCTCTACGATCTGGACGGCGAGGCCCTGTACTCGGTGAAATGGTATAAGGACGGCAACGAGTTCTATCGCTATGTGCCCAGGGATATGCCGCCGGCACAGACCTTCCTCCTGCCAGGTGTTAAAGTCGATGTAAGTACAGTCCACAGTCCATAGTCCACAGTCCCTGTCCCTGCCTAAACATTACAAAACAACGCTGCATACTTTTTGCGGTGGGGTAGTGGGGGCACTGGGGGCATGTCCTCCTCCTTTGTGCTCCTCTCCTTTTGTGCGCGTTTATCGCTACTGTGAATGGGGTGCACAGACAATGCACTGCGCTACCTTTGAGGCCAGACGGTGGCACAAAAGAACAACTAGACTCCATCGGGTGGCCCTCTAAAAATTAGTTGGGGCCAAAGACTGGCCACAAGACCTGCTTAAGATGATTGGAAAGGGCTATACAAACGGATATAATTTAATAGAATTTTCCCCATTACATTCGGGCGGCCAAGAGCTCGATTTTGTCTAAAACAACATACATGTCGTGTGCATGATGCACCAAATTGAGCCTCGACGCGAGTGCTTCAAAGAGAGAAAGCTCTTGAATGAAAAAACAAACAAATTACATGTCGTGTGGAGACCAAAAGCCTGCCCAACGCAGATCTAGGGATCCGCTGAACAGATTTTGATCAGTTTTGATACCAATAGAAGCATATATCTCGTATATATCGTAGAAAATACAGAAGTTCCAAAGAAGTTGTTCCTTAAGATACATTTTCCTTTAAATTACTTCAAAACCTTAAAAGTTAAAATCGAAAACTAAGGAATTATTACAGATTTTAGCCCGTTTTTGGCTTGCAAAAGTTTCCTAGTTTATGGCTCTTGGGATATTCTTTGTCCTTGGAGCTTCTTCAAGAGTTCTCCAAGTAGATACATCCAATGGGCATGCCGTGTGCATAGATCGAACTGTTTAATAGTCCGTCGGAACCGAAGCGGAGCGAAGCGAAGAGGAGTGCCTGTAAAGAATGGCTGTAGAGCACTTAGAATGGCGTCGCTCCATTATTTTTGCCACTAAAACTTTGGCACGTAACAATGCACTAGACGCTCCACCTCCACCTCCACCTCCACCTCCATCTCCGATTCCCATTCCGATTCCGGAATGGCAGGGGATGGCGGGGCAGTGCCAGATAAGCACGTGAGCAGACAATCGGACCCTGGTTGATGGGCAACATTCGACATGCCATTCCCCATGCCACTCTCTATCTCTCTCTCTCTCTCTCTCTGGCCCACTAATCGGCTACCGAAAAAGTGAAATCTGTTTTCCCATGAATGCGTCCGTCCATCCGTCCGTGAGTGCCTCTCTCTCTCTCTCTCTAGCGTTCTCCCTCCCTCCTTTAAGTGCAATAAATATTTCAAGTTGCGCTTTTGCGTTTCTGTGGCGGTTGTGGGCGTGGCCGAGTGTGTCCATAAAGCGCGTTATAGCAAAAAGCAACACCATACCGCATTACCGCAAAACGATTTCCGTAGCGGCACAGTGGGGCAAAGCGGCAAACGGGGCACGCAGAATCATAGCTGAAGCGATTCTTTGGGATCAGGCAGGGAATGGAAGGGGATGGAAGGGTATACGAGGGTATAAGAGGGTTCTAGAGGCTATTGGAGGCTATGAGAGGGCTTAAGAGGGTACAGGAGGCTATTGGAGGCTATTGGAGGCTAGAAGAGGCTAGAAGAGACTATTGGAGGCCCAAAGAGGCTCTAGGAGCTCGATATTTCCACTCGTTTGATTTTGGAAATATTTTTCATAATTTTTTAAAGCAAATTCCTAAAAATTTCAAACTAAAACTCGGCATCCCCTAAGATTCTATTCTAGTTTTTTATCCATAAGGTCGGAAGATATTCCACAGCTTCCCCCCGTTACCCTTGGAGCACATTTTGCCCACTTAATCCCCGCCTTCAAGCCACTGTCCCTCTTTTGTTCTTTTCGCTGCTTAGCGGTAAACTTTTTGATGTTGGGGCTGAGGCAGGGGCAGAGCCCCGCAGAAGATGCCAGTTGGCGATAACCAATTGATGCGGATGTACGTGTGTGTGTGGGGGGAGGGGGGGAGGGGCAGCTCCATTTTACTGGATATTGTTTTAGCATAATCGATTTGAGTGACTTCGGAAGGGGGACGGAGACAGAGGCGGAGAAGGGGGGCCGAGGAGGACCTGCTTCTGCTTCTTCTGCGGTTTTGTTTTATTGCAGTTGGGGAATAGTTTGTTGCTGTTTGCTTTGTTGCTGCTGCTTAGACGTGGGGTCTACCTGGGCCCTGGCTCGCTGCTGTCCGTGTGGTAAACTATAAATTAGGTTAAAACAACACCAAGGCACGGCGGCAGGGGCGGGGGGGCCAAAGGAATGCGCAATAAAAGATAACAAAGTGCAGTTTTCTGCTCCGCCAGATAGCAGGCCAAAGGGAAAGGGTAGCGGGGGGGAAAAGGGACGGACGAGCAAGAAACTGATCCCACACCGACATAGAGCCGGGATTTAATGGCTTAAAGTTCAAGTGAAATATTTGCCTAACCCTTTTTTGGTCAGACATTCAACACGGACCCTCTCTGGGGGGGAGGGGGGTGTGGTGAGGGCTCCAACCTGGGCTGGGGGACCAAACAACGACTTAAAGATACCCCGTAGAAGAATTTCTATAAAAAGTAAATCTTATTCGGGGCAAAAATGGGCCTCCCCCCCTCCCCCCTGCCTGTTGCAGGGTACCACCAGGCGAGGCAAAGGCGCCACAAAGTAAAAGAAACGGCTGGAAAAACATGCGGAAACTGCGGCAGTTTTCAAAAGCAATTACGTTACATTAACGTCCAAAGTGGCTGCATGTCGCCCCCTGCCCCCCGCCCCTCCCCTGCCCCTCCCCTGCCACAACCCCTTGAAACTGCCAATGACAACCAATGGGGGGTGGGGGAGGGGGCTGGGCCCTGCAACAACTTTTCGTAACATTAATTTTAACCATCTTCCATCTCGCTCGCCGCCATCATTCAGCAATTTTATTCATTCTCTTCTCTCTCTTTCTCTCTCCCTCTCTTTGTCTCTGTCTCTCTGCCATTTTTAATTGCAGTTGCACAACTCGAGCGACGCGATTGTTACGCTGCGCGACGTCAATCTACAGTCGGCGGGACGCTTCCGTTGCGAGGTCTCCGGTGAGGCGCCATCCTTCCAAACGGTCACCGAACACGGCGATATGGTTGTTGTGTGTAAGTATATATCCCTCCACCCCCCAGCCCCCCCTTTATATAGGACCTGCTGAAAGGCGAAAACTTATAACTCTAATTAGAAATTGCGGCCATTTGGCGTTGACTGCTGGCTGCCGCCGCCCGGCGGCGCGGGGGGGCCCTGCGTCTGACTTTGACTTTTACTCTTAAAACTTGTCACCGGAATGGTGTTGCCCCGCTTTAAAGCCACAGGACGGAGCCAAGGGTGGGCGAGAGGGCGGGAGAGCGGTTGGAATGAAGTGTTTAAGCTCCTCTTGATTGAATGTCAGGCCACGCGGCGACGAGGACTTTGATGTGGAAGGTGTTGCCACATGAAAAGTGGATAACAACAGGACAGCGCTCTCCCCCACCCCCTCTCTCTCTCACTTTCTCTCTACAATTCCGTTAAAGTTTTCGTGGTTTTCCTGCGAAAATCCTGTACCAACGAAATGCTCATCTTACTATTTATATGGTCTTCGCCTGAGGGATCCCCCAGTCTTTAGGGGCCTCGATATAATACCTACTGAAGAATACTAGATGGAGTTAATTGAGAGTTAGTTGTGACCACGGTATTCAATGAATGCCATAAGCCATGCCCAAGCATTTTTCACAGCTATATAGACAGATCTCTGAGCAGCAGGAATAATCTGTTCCTCATCAGCAGGAATGCAAATTGAGTTTATATAAATGTACACAGAGAGAGGAATAGAATTTACTTTGATTTAAAAATAAATTTATTAAAAAAATCCTTTAAATGCATCAATTAGATCCGGTTAAATATCTAAACAAAAATACATAAAAATAAATTTATTATCTTAATTTGTAGGAGATTTATTTAATTTGAAGATGAAAATATTTCATTTTATATATACAAATATTTAATTTAAAATATAAAAATATGTAATTTAAAAATATGCAAATATCTAAATTTAAATATTTTCAAATTGAAATTAAACAAATATCCTACAAATTTAATACAAAATATTTATAAAATTGAATTAATAATAAATTTTAACATTCAATTAAATTAAATTAATTAAATAAACATAAAAATATTTCAATTTAAATATGCCAATATTTTGTTTTAAATATGAAAATGTTTCCATTTTAAACATGGAAATATTTTATTTTGGAGTATGAAAATATTTCATTTTAAATATATAAATATTTAATTCAAATATGAAAATATTTCAGTATAAATATGCGAATATTTAATTTTAAATATGAAAATATTTTTCTTCAAATATTTAATTTTAAATATACAAATATTTCACTTTAAACATGAAAATATTTCATTTGCAATAAGAAAATGTTTAATTTTAAATATGAAAATATTTAAAATTTAATACGAAAATATTTCATTTTATATATCAAAATATTTCATTATAAAGGTGAACAAATTTAATTTAAATTTGATATTTTAATTTGAGTATGAAAATATGTTATTTCAAATATCCAAATATTAAAATTTAATTTTGGAAATATGGAAATATTTTATTTAAAACATGAAAATATTTCATTTTGAATATGCAAAAATTTAATTTTAATTATGAAAATATATTTAGTTTTAAATATGAAAATATTTGGATTTAAATATTTAGTTTTAAATATAAAAATACTTAAATTCAATTTTAAAATATTTCATTTTAAATATGCAAATAATTAATTTCAAACATTAAATTAAATTAATTGAAAACACTGCCACTCTCGGTGCCCAGAAAATGGCATAAGTATTTAAATCCAATTGAAAACATTATTCGCCTCTCAGGGCTCATTCCTTTAAGCGTAGGATTAATATCCTTCAGTTACATTATGCCATATTTTTCCACTATATTAGGCCTTCGATCCGGCTTAAACTATCACGACAAATCTAGTTTATTCCTACTAAATCTAGAAGCCTTCTTGCCTTCATTTTGGTTTACCCTTGGCCAAGCGTTAATTTACTTTCGCCGACCTGGACCCAATCAGCTTTATTCAATCGAAATTGTGTTTGCTTAGTCAAAAAGCATTTGAACTGCATTTGACAGGCTTCATTTGATTCCCAGCTTCTAATGCCGAACGAGCTTAGTGGACCCCGACGCCACCCCCAAGGCAAAACTTGCCAAAGCTTAACGGTTTAACTCGATTTTGGAAGCCCTGTCCCTGGCCATGGCCCTGTCTCCAGCAGATCTCCTGCAGGGCAATGCCAAAAATATTGCCAAAGACGACGCCGCGCAATCCACAAAACAACAACAAATAGTATCTCGGAAGCAGCTTTAAAGTGTGAGGGTGGCACTGGCAGCCCCCCCAAGCCTACTAATACACGTGGATTGTGGATGGTGGATTGTGGAGTGTGGATTGTGGAGTGTGGATTGTGGAGTGTGGAGCACTTTGAACTGGCGTTGACATTTCGTTTGTTCAATTATAAAACTTTTGCGTGGGCGTGTCTCTCCCTCTGTCTCTGTCTCTGTCTCTATGGCTGTCTCCCTTTATTGTTATCCCTCGCCCTTCCCATGTCTTTGCCTTTGCTGTGCTTTTGTTTTCCCTTCCTTTTGTTGGTGCTGCGGTCCCGGTCCCGGCCTCTGCTTCTGTTTGGCTTTCAATCAAAGTTTTTAAAAGCCTCAACAACGAAACCAACGCATATGCCGCCCAGCTCCCAGATGGTTTTTTTTTTTTCTCCTTTTCGGAGCCCTTTGGCAAACAAAAACAAATACAGCAAAGCAAAACCATTTCCGTTTCCGTTGGCAGAGTGCAGTTTGGCGCGGATGGATCCCGCAGGAACCCGCAACAGATCCTTGCTGATGGGTACACCAACTGGGTGATGAGGCTGGCCGGGAAAACCCATTTAGAAGAGGTTGGAACCAATCCTTAGCCCAAATCATCACTTTCGGATGAGCGGAATATTTAAAATTTACTCAGCTTCGAGCTCTGACAGCCCTTTTCGCTACCCTTTAGTTAGAGTATTGAAAATTCCTCTGGACACATTTCCTGCGCTCTTTTTTTCTGGTATTTTGCTTTATTTTTTGTTGGCAATTTTATCAGACGTCCGTCAGTGCATCAGCGGCTGGAACTTTTATTGAATTTCCGGCTGCGCTTCGCTGACTTTGTTGTTCCTCCGCTGCTCCGTGCTCATCTGCTGTCGTGGCGGTGGTCGGACCCGGCTTAGGTTTATTACGAAATTCTAAAACCCAGGCCCCCGCCCCCGCCCCCGCCCCCGCCCCTGCCAAAGGTCTGCGGCTGTAAATGAAATTTAGCTTTCGCTCAACTTCGTTACCAGCCCCTCCCACCACCTCTCTGCCCCACCAAACTGATGTTGTTGTTGTTGTTTCCGTTGCAGCTCTGCCGGACCAGGGACCACCGAAGATAAGTGGTGGCCGGCCCCGCTACCAGACTGGCGACTGGGTGCGCATCAACTGCACGGCCGGACGCTCGAAGCCCGCCGTGGATCTGTCGTGGTTCGTCAACGGCGAGGCCGTCGAGCCGCAGAAGCTGCGCAAATACGACTCCATCGTGTCCGGACGCGAGGGTCTGGAGACCTCCGTGCTGGGCCTCCAGTTTCGGGTGGAGCAGAAGCATTTCCGCAACGGCGACATGAAGTTGAAGGTGAGTCCTGAAGCCCCCCACTCTAGCGAGAGAGAGTCCAGTCTAACCCGAGTCCCATTTGCAGTGCGTGGCCTCGCTGTCGACCTTGTATTGGCGGAGTAACGAGGAGTCGGTCGAGGGCGATCGCCCGCAGAAGGCGCCCGTCCTCGAGTCGCGCGAGACCGTCTACGCCAGCAACTCACGCGCCGATCCCGTCCAAGGTATGTCATACCGGGAATTATTTGTTACCAAAATCTTATCGCTTTTCATTCAAACAAATGCAGCCAGCAAATCGGATTCGCTTCTGTTGGCCCGTGCGCCCAGTGCCCTGCTGCTAGTGGCCCTGGCCGCGGTGGCAGCCCTGGCTGGCGGTGGCATCTCTGTCCCTCAGTCGATAAATAAAGATCATCAAGAAGATGAGAAAGAGCGAAAGAAACAGCGAAAGCATGAGAAAAACTTGAATGAGCGAGTGAGTGGCGTGGAGCTTTCGGAGCTTTTGGCGTGTGAGTTGCTGGCGGATTTCGAGGGGAAGAGCGCGTGCCAAAGCTCTGCGACGCGGCGGCAGCATCGAGGAGTAACGGTGACTGCACGGTAGCTGCATTAAGGGGTGCCCCCTCCCCCCCGTTCAACGTTTTCACCGATTTTTCCGTCTTCGCTTTGCATAGAAAAACACAAAACACAACAAAAAATCAAAAAAAGAAAACAGAGAAAACAAAGAAACCCGAAAAGCAGCTTATTTATTTATGCCGTTAACAAACAAGAAAAAAAAAAGCTTTCATGAATTTAATTTGTAAAAAGTGAAACAGAAAATATCTAGCACATAAATTTAAAATTAAAATTACTTAACAATTAATTGTATGTCGTGTGGCGGAAACTGTTAAGACCCCAAAATCGAAAAAACAAAAACAAAAAACCCATTGTAAATAGTAAATGTTTAATATATATATATATATATATACAAATATATATGTATATTTATGTAACTGTATTGTATGTTATTTAACTTTTAAGCTCACTCACACACAGAAAAGCCGAAAGAAAAAAAAAACGAAACAGTAGATAAACGAAATCCACAACAAATACATATACAAATATCATAGAAAGGAAAATAAAAGGAGAATTATAATGAGCAAATGAATCCAATCCTCCAACCAAAGTTGGTCACGGCAAATTACGAGTTTAATACAAAATATATATAGCAAAATATATGTAAGAATATGTTAGCGAAAACAATGTTTGGTGTACAGTGCGTAACAAAACCATAGGCTGATCTATAGTTTTGTAACGCACTGTACAGCCACTAGAAATATATACACATACCCATATATATTTCTTCTTTTGGTTGGGAATAACAGAAACCTGTAATTAAATAAAAAAAAAGAAACAAATTTTTAATGTAAGAAAAAATCAAACCAAAAAAAATCACTTAATTTTAAAAAAATATTAATTAAAGGAAAAGAAAAGAGAGGGAAAGAAAACTAATCAAATTTAGAAATTAAAACTTGGTGACTGTTGGAAAAAGGTCTTAAAACTAAACAAAAACATATCGTACATTTATATAAATTGCCAAAGTCTTAATGGGTATTAAACCGAATGGAAAGCTTCCACATTTTCCTCCTCCCTATAAACGCCATGTGAGTGTGTGAGTGTGAGTGTCTACCGTATGTATTTAAGTGTGTGAGTGTGTGTCCACTGTATAAAACTAGTAACATTCCGAGCTCCAATACCATCCAAACCAGAGAAAGTGTAAACAATTTAGTTAGCCAAATTTTAGGCAAGAGGTCACAGGTCAAAGAGCAGAGCAAAACTAACCAATCGAAACAATAGCAACAAAATGATTGTGATTCGAAAATCAAATCAAGCGAAAAGCAAAAAACCCAAATCAAATGATTTTCCGTGTGTAAATAGAAATGTTTCCCTTCCCCCCTGCCACCCTGCTACCCCCCCTTGCAACAATTGTGTGTGTAAATATGATTATGAGCTAACTAAATTAGAATTAAGATGTCAATGGCAGCCAATTTTAATAAAAAGAATAAACGACAAAACGAGAAATTAACAATAAATTTCACATTAAATTTAAATATGGATTTAAATGGCAATTGCAGTGCCCCCTAGCCATAGATTTACAAATATATGTACACTCACACACACACACACACATACGAATACACATATATAAATCTGCATTGTTGTCAACTGTAACTGTTTTTTAAGTCTTATTTAATATCGAAGCCATTAACTGCAATTCAAATAAAAAAAATTACTAAAAACTACAGCAAAAAAAAAGAATACCATTTAAAACAAACTATAAATGGCATAAAGATTAAAATGAAATGAAGAAAAACAAAAATATAAATGTGTGCTAATTGTAAGTGTAAATTATTTGTGTATTTAAATAACAACAACTTTTAGATGTATAAAAAAAAAAAAACGAAAAGAAAAGAAAATAATGAAAATGAATTAACGAAAACCCAAAATAATGCATTCGAATCTATACGATAAAATCTATGTGAATCAGTAAACAATTCAAAACCTAAGGACACGCTGCATAAAACAGATACGAATACGAATTATTTACAAAAACAAAACAAAACAAAAAAAAAACTCAACTCGAATCAAATGCCATAAAGTAATTTCAACTGAATTTAGCTGCCAGCGAGTGGATCAGTCGGTGGATCAGTCGGTGGTCGGTGGACGTCCGCGACGTCTCTATAGCTCTGTAAATATCTCTAAGCCTCCAAGCCCCGCCCCGCCACGCCCCGCCCCCAGAACGAACGAATTGTGAGGGAGAATCGTGGAAATTCATTAATAAAACATACTTGTTTCAAAATCAAACTATTAAATGGTGTTTTTATTTAGGGGTAATTTTCTAAAATATATATTAATATTAGCTGGAAATTATTCTGCCTGTTTATTCCCTTATATTCTTTAGTCGTATTTTTGAAACTCTTCTTTAAGCTTGTCTTTTCCAGCAATTTTCAGCTGCTGTCTCGAAAATCTCCCACATAAATCTCCACCGTAGGAAATTGCTGTTGCCTCCCCGCATTAAACCAGCTTCAATTATATGAGAAAGCCAGGAAGTTAACCTGTCCGATACATTCTCTCTGTATTTCTGTGTTTATTTTATTTTTTTTATTCTCTGGCTGGATGCAGCACAAAGAAAATTGGGTAATTTTAAGAAAATATTTCAAATACGTGAAAATGTTCCCAACGAACGTGACAACAACCTTCGACGAGGCCAAAACGTTTAGCAGTAAAAAAAAAAAAAAAAAGAGAGGGGGGGAGTTACTGCCGCTACCCCACATTTACACCCGAAACTCACTCGGTATGGCGCTCACTGCACAAGAGAGGGAGAGAGAGAGAATGATTTTGTGGATGGCAGGCGTTCCATATCCACTGCAAATTGATTTCTCCATTCTGGCTACAATAATATTCAGTTCCCGCCCTGGCCCTGTATCGGCAATCAATGTTTCTGCGCCACGAATTGGCTCTGATCTGCAGGAATTACTGCCGCCTACGAATGTTGATCTCGCAGCGGTCCGAAAAGGATGGAATGACTGCATATTGATACACTTTTAAATGCAATTTCCCCTGAGCCGCCGCCCCTTCCACACTCTTCCCACTGCAATAAACTGAAGCGGCGGCAAAAACTTAACAGCGCCTGTGCTTTTGCGTTTTGTTTGTTAGGCTTTTGCTTGTGCTTTAAAAGTTTTATCTTATGCTCTGAGAGGGGTGGGGGGAGATGGGCAGTGCATTGATGACATCATTGGCATAGGAAAAGATTTCGTACTTTGATCCTCTCTTCCCACTGCATTTGGTGAGAGTGCGTCTGCGCTGAGAGCTCAAAACTTCACTTGGAACGAGAGCACTCATTCCTTTTCGATTCTCTTCTTCACTGCCTGCCGCTACTCTGAGGAATGGGAGTGGGAGAGGGACAAAACTTGACGAATTTTGAAGCGTACACACACACACACACACATTGCAGGAACTCACGTGATCAAATGACAAAAAGCAAGACAAATGAAATATGTATAACACCTTTTAGGTGTTTACACCTGAAAAAAGAAATTATGCAACAGAAATATGTTTACTTACATATACATATATCAAATAGATATTTTTCGTTCCTCGAGCTGCATTTATGCCGCCAATTTGCCTCTTATTGCCTCTTTCTGCGCCTCTGCCCTTGACCAAACAGTTTTTTTTCCACTTAAACACTTTTTTCACTTCACACACATGCACCACATTTTGTCCATTGGATTTTTCACCATTTTCTGCATTTTTACAGGTAGAAACGCGGAGCTGACTTCCGAACGCGCGCTTTGACCGACGGAAAAAATGCATGAGAGAGCGCCGCAAATGCGTTCATTCTTTGATCTCCTGCTTCTGTTCCTATTTGCTCTCCCACGCACTCTCTCTTCAGCTACTTTTGCGAAAACGAAAAACGAAACGAAAAAACAGGGATAAAACGGAACTGTAACACATTTTTAATTTTTACACATGAAAAAAAAAACAATTTAAGCAAATTTGTTTCCCGACAAATATATCGCGTATCAAAAAATTGCCGCAATTTTAATTCGTTGAGCTTCACTTTTGCCGCCATTCTGCCTCTTGTTGCGCCCGCGGCCTTTATTCCACACTTTTTTTGGATTAAGACACCTTTTCCACATTTATGTCTGATCACTGCACCACTACACTGCACCTTATTTTTCCCGATGGATTTTTCACCATTTTCCGCATTTTCACGGATAGAAACGCGGAACTGACTTCCGAACGCGCGCTTTGACCGTGAAAAAATGGAAGTGAGAGCGTTGCAAATGAGTTCATTCTATGCTCTCCTTCTTCTGTTCCTACTTGCTCTCCCACGCACTCTCTCTTCAGCTACTTTTGCGAAAACGAAACGGGTGACAACGGAAAAATAACACCTTTTAAGTTTTCACACATGAAAAAAAAGAAATTATGCAAAAAAAAATATGTTTAACTGCATATATATCAAATATATATCAATATATCACGAATTTTTGCACTTTTCCTTTGTCAAGCTACACTTTTGTCGCCATTTTGCCTCTTATTGCGCCCCGGCCTTTATTCCACGCATTTTCTTGCACTAAAACACATTTTTTACTGCACCACTACACTGCACATCACTTCACACACATGCACCACAATTTTCCAGATAGACTTTTCACCATTTTCCGCATTTTCACGGATAAAAACGCGGAGCTGACTTCCGAACGCGCGCTTGGGCCGGTTGAAAAAATGAAAGTGAGAGCGGTGCAAATGCGTTTGTTCTTTGATCTGCTGCTCTTCTGCCTATTTGCTCACTCTCCCACTCAAATTTGACAGAGCATTCGGTCGTTTGTAGGTGAACGAACCGTAATAGGTGAGAGCATTAGCGCTCTCTTTTTGCTTTTGCAAAGTGTGTTTGCGTGTGGAGTTGCTTTAGCTTATGCTCTAGACGGGTGGTGGGGGGAGATGGGCAGTGCATTGAAAAGGTAAATTAATTTAAAGACTGGCAGCGCGGGTGTGGGGCAGGCTAATAACTAACAATGCCTTGTAATATCGCTGAGAGAATCTCAAGCCGGCAATATTTCCATTGCGTTTCCTCTCTTCTCATTTTTGAACAGTGCAATGACTGGAAGCTGAGAGAAAAGAAAAGAGCGTCTTTGCTTTTGCAATGTGAGTGCGTTTGTGGTTGTTGTTGTCTCTACCGTATAA